GCGCATGTTGCTAACATCTGGCTTCTCAAATGTTTACTTGTGCTGCCGGTGGCGGCCGATTTCGGCTGTCCTGGCCGGCCAATCATCTTCAAAGGGGAAACATGCACGACCTTGCTGGAGACGCTGTGAAGACTTCCCATAGGCTAATGCTCCGGGCATCGACCGCGCGGCTCCAAACACGCATTCTTTTGGCCCCAAACAATTTCCAACACATTTTTTACTAGTGCTATAAAGGATACACGTCACACACTGGCGTCCTACTCCTTTTTTTCTAACATGAAACCAGGCCTGAATGTCGTAACGGCCAGAGTCTCCCTGGTAACTTACGCTACCGCAATAGGTGTATCTACATAAACTTCCTTTTTATTTGGTCAACAGGATGTACAACTGTGTCGTTGAACGTTTTGGTTGGTTGTGAAAAATGAGGTCAATAAGTAGTTCCTTTCTTCCGGGGAACGAAACAAATTGTTCACAAACCTCGTTAATTCCAAAATTAACATTGTGTTTCAGCCTGGTCATAAGTTTGTTAGTTTATCTGCTATGAACCCCTTTCTTATGATTATGGTTCAGTGACTGCTGTACAGGGATGAAATTTGAGCGGTTTTTACGAGAAAATCCCTGTTACGCAGAAGCAGCCCAAGCTGCGGTCCCAAAAGTCTTACAGCAGCAAAGTAAAAATCGTACTGAATAAGAAGGTATACTGTGATTTATCAAGTAATATTACCTTGTCTAAAAACTGACACTTATTTAAGAAAAAAAGAATAAAAAATGGGGTTACTGAGTAAAGCTTAGTCTTAAAGTCTGTTCATGCAAAAAAGAGTAAATAAAGTAGCACGAGAAGAATTAGGATAGGGAATAATTCTTTTTGTGACATTTTCGGATTTGCATGCTTCTATATTACGCGCAATGTCAAGCAAGGCCGTAGTAAGCTTTATACCTTAATTTATGGCACAAAACTTAACAGATTTAAAAAAGAGAATTTTTCAAACTTAATTCGCTCTTGCTTTCCTGACAACAATGTGTTATCTCATAGTTGGATTTTCTCCAATTTCATGAACTCAAAACAAAACTTTCTGCTCTCTGAATACACATAATTAAAAAGTGTCATGCCGTTTATAGCACATTATTCTTCCGCAGCCTTTTATAGCGTAAGAAATCCCCCAAATCTCAACAGACGTTTTATTTTGTCAAATTCTGTCCTTATTTGCCCCAAGTATACTAATCTGAACGGAACACTTTTCTAATAAACAGAATGTTCCAGTTCAATTCAATGAACATAATAAACAGCCTTCAATTTATGTTTAATCCCTCAACCAAACTTTGATCTTCGCATTTCATCAGATATGCAATCTACAGTAGTTGCTAAACAGCGCTTAACATTCGTAAATATTGTCAAAGAAATCTGTTAATACAAAGACGTCTGTCTCCTGGAAAGGTATTCTCCCAAGTAAATGCCGGTGGAACCCGCAATAGTTGTAGAAAATGAAGTCAAAAAATTGTTTTTTTTCTTCCGCGTAATGAATATGATTTTAACTTTAATTGTTCACCAGTCATGTCATTTCCAAAGTGAACATTGTGCTTGCACGTGGTCATAAGTTTCTCAGTTCATTTCCTATGAAGTTTACTGTGGTTCACTAACTGTTCTAATTACTTAACAGCACTCAATATTCGTAAAAATTTGGATAAAAATCTGAAACTACAACGACGTCTGTCTGCTGGATTGGCATTCTCCCACTTTTATGCGGGTGGAAACCAAAGCAGCTAGCTTCGTTTTTGCTATAGCCCTGCCTGCAGTGAGCACAATAGAATATTTTTGACACTTTCTAGAAGATACGCTCGAATTTATGTAAGCATTAATATCTAACGCAACTATATCTCCCACTTAGTCCGTTTTTAGTTGAATATCTTCATGCCACCTTTCACGCCAGCCTGTAGGTTTTTTCGCTAAATTAATTTTTTCCGTTTGAAGAAAAAGAGATGGAGTATTTCATTTAGTGTTTCAAGCCTTCCTGTGCAGAATACAACTGTCATTGCGAATGACC